GGATGATGTGACAATCCGAAATTTTTATGCTTTGAAGACATAGTCAATCAACTCAACTGAGTGTCAAACGCATTAGTATGGAGTTCTAGCCCGATTAAAGGTCATTCTAAGGAGTTTTGAGCCTAATACACTTAAGGAATAAGTGTTAGAAAGTACCTGCTAGAACCATAGTGTAGCAAATCGAACCTTAACCCCATCTAAATGAGTTAACGGCCACAAGACCACGAGTTTACGACCATAAACTCATGTGGCCATAAACTCAAGTGCATATATAAGGCATTTGGTCATTTCTTCTCATTTCTTCATTCCTTGGCTGGTTTTTCTTCATTCTCTCTCAACTATCATCTAATTTTCTTCCTAGATATTCAAAAGATGTAAGTATTCTTCCTAGATTAGTTGATACATCTTATTAACTAGCTTCATACATTGATTTCATCCTTGAAAATCATGTTTGTTTAGATCTTCAAGTTTCACCAAGAACACAAAGAACACATACTAGTGTTCTTGGCCAATATCAATCGTTTCAAGCTTCTAGATCGTAAGTACTCTTCCCTATACTTCATATCCAGTTAGCACTCGTGCTTAGAGACTTGTAACACACATTTTCCCCAAGAATACCATCAGTTTACGGCCCAAGATCTTCCTCGGCCGTAAACTCAATGTTTGGGCATGTTTGAGCCCTAAACCCTATAATATGAAAAGCTAGTGACCCATGACCCTTCCTTGATGTTTGTAAGACCTTAAACTCCACTTAAATCTATAAATGGTCATGAGTTTATGGCTGTAAACTTCTTAGGGCCGTAAACTCACCAAAAGCCTTAATGAAGGTGGCCTTTCACATCCTAGTGTAGAGCTAAAGTCCCTAAAGCTTCCCAAGCTTTCAAACTAACACTTATACATGAGTAACCATACCTAATGTAATCATTAGTAAAAGTCACATAGAAGTGGTTAGCATCCCTTGTGGCAGTTCTGAATGGTCCACACACATCAGTGTGTATAAGGTCCAACAAAACTTCACCCCTTTCACAAGTACCAGCTAAGGGTGACTTGGTCATCTTTCCACGTAAACAAGATTCTCCATCCGACTTTAGATCGAATGATTCCAAAGCTCAATCCTTTTGGAGTTGGGCTATGTACTTCTTGTTGACATGTCCAAGACAACGATGCCACAAGCATGCCTTGTCCAAAACATTGGACGAATCAATATTCAACACATTATTTCCTAGGTTATCTACAACATTCATAGTTTCATATACACCACTGAAAGGTAATGCTTCAAAATAAAATACACCATTACAGTAACCATTAATAGTACTGATTTCATTATTAAATGAAAAGGTAAAACCTTGTTTGTGCAAACTATGAAAGAAAATAATATTTCTTGCCATATCGGCTAAGTAACAACATTTTTTCAAATCTAAATTTAAACCACTACTAAGAAATAAAGAATAAACTCCAATCTTGGTCACATGCGACATTTTCCTATTTCCCATGATTAAGTTTATCTCCCTATGCTCCACATCCCTACTTCTTTTTAGTCCCTGCAAATCAGAACAAATGTGAAATCCACAACCTGTATCAGTGAACCAAGAATTAGCATGTGATGAGTTATTAGATTGAATAGTGTAAATACCTACAAATGAGGGTTTGATCTTTCAATCTTTATGTCTTGAAAGTACTAGGGGCAGCTCCGTTTCCAGTGCCCTTTTTCATGACAATGGAAGCAGACAACATCCTTCGTATTGGAGGAGAGATTAGCAGAACCAGCCTTAGTCCCACTAGAAGAGGATCCATCAAAAGACTTTCCCTTGTGTCTCTTGGAGGGAGCCTTCCTTTTCTTTCCCATTCCATGTCCTATTGCCAAAACAGGGGCAGAAGTAGTAGTAGGAGGAGTACTCGCAACCGACTTGCCTTTAAGGTTGCTTTCTGTAGTCCTCAAATGCCCTTGAAGCTTGCTAAGAATGACCTCCTCCTTTTTCATATGATAAGTCATACGAAACCGATCATAACAAGAAGGTAAAAAGTGTAGAATTATATCTATGGACAACTCTTCATTAAAATTAACATTCAATTTTATCAAGCAGTTCACATATCTCTGCATCTTTTGCAAGTGGGTCATGATGGGTTCACCATCATTCATTTTGGTTGTGATCATGGAGACAATGATATCATACCTCTCCTGCTGAGCACTTTGATGGTATCTTTCCATGAAATCATGATACATTTCATAAGGATAATATTCCTCATAGGACTTATGTAGCTCTACAGTCATGGTTGCAATCATAAGACACAACACCTTTGTCGCATCCCTCTCATGAATAGTGTGCTCAACAATTTGTTCGATAGTAACAGTTGTCACATCTATCTCCTTTAGCTCTTTGTCAAGGACATATTCTTTGTCCTCATAAAAAATTTCTATTATGATATTACGAATCCAGTCATTGAAATTCAAGCCATCAAAAATGACCCTCCCACATAGGTTCATGAGGGAGAAAGAGCCTGAAGGAATTGGTGTGGAAGCATTGTTTGGAATAGACATTTGAAAAGAAGAACAAAGTTTAGATTAGATGAGAATCCTTAATATTACACCCAATATGAAATACTAAGGCTAGGACCCAACATAATATTCTACAATTGCGAAGAAGGATTCTGTAATCCAACTGTAAAATATTTGAAGGTAGGTAAATGACGATTTACCAATTTCCACCCTGAAAAACAAAATAGTTTATTAAGTTTTAATTGGTTTGAAATTCCTAGATCGTTAAGATTCATTGAATCTTTTCAATGGCATGTTTAAATTTTGATTGTGCTCTTCAAGTTTGTGACTGGGATGCCAAGGATCACAAACAAGATGTGAATAACCATGCAAATTAACTTGGTACACCCAATGTTAGAAATCACCTCATTAATGTGTCGGTTAACAACATGCACTCCATTGATCTATGATTAACATCAGGTTACCTTTTTCCACACATTTCCAATCTCAGATTAGTGTGCACGTTAACCACACACGCTCCACTAATGACTTAACAAGGTGCAAAGTGCAATTTCATGGATTAGAACCATATTCACATTTTTCCTAAAGTAACTAAGATTGGGAATTTAATAAAAGTTTAGTTACTTTATATTTATCATTATACTTTTAATGAGGGAGAATTACTGTCCTATCCTACCCATTCGGCTAACGACCCTCCACCAGTCAAGGAAGCGGTGGGTGAGAGTTGAAACCCATTAAACCACCATTTTATAGACAGTAACCTTATACCCCCTTATAGACCGACTTCATGAATGAGGCCTACTAACGGTAAGACTGACTTGCTCTTATATTAAACTTATAATACTATAATGTATAAGGTTGAATTTTAAACTTTTAAAAATCTAGGGATTGGAATTAAAGTTTCATTTAATGAGACTTTGCAAATTCCAAAACTTGAGGGCATGTTTAGAAACTTGTCAAAACCCTTCACATTCATAACCTATGAGTTTAATTTGATTTTAATGATGAGACCTTTCATTTTCCATAACTTGAGGACAAGTTATGGAGGTCATTAAACATCAATTAGATCATATTCTCTAACAACTAAATCATCACATAATTCATGATCTAACTAAACTCATAAACAAGATAAATCTAGATCAACAATTTTAAAAACAACTTGGTTTATCATATAAAACAACAATTATTTTAAAACATTTGAAAATTATCTTGTGATTGGATGACTAGAAGCACTACCATATTATAACAACATTTCTAATGATTCAAAATAGTTTGTGGTAGTGTTCCTAATCCAAACCAGGCCAAGAAACTCGAAATTATGCAAACACGACCTTTAACTCATCGAGTGCATGAACTGACTCGCTGAATTGCCTTGCTTACTGAGTGGACTCGTTGAGTCTATTCATGTACTTAGCGAGTTCACCAGTCAAAGACAAAAATTCGACTCTTTCCAGCTTTGAAAAATTATTAAGCATCAAATATAATTGAAAACAATCCTAATCTCTGATACCATTGTTGGGTTTTGAGCACTATAAAACTTCCTATGTGCACATGCAACCATAAGTGCTTTGGATCTATGTTTTCTTTAATTATACATGCATTTACTTTTTCCAAATCATTCACCATAGCTTGCATATAATTGAAGCTATATAATTAAACATGGTTTGGATGCTTACCTCTTGAGTAGGGTAGAGTTCTTGACCTTTGAAAGATTGAGCACCTCAAATGTGATGCCTCTAATGGTTCAGAAAAACCAATATGAAAAAGGAGGCTCTAATAGAATAAGTTACTTGTGTCAAATGTAGGTGCAACCGATTTTGGTGTATGGAGGGTTCTATTTATAATTGTGGCAAGTGCCAGGGTTACACTTTGTAAACCCTAATGATCCATGACTTTCCATATTCCTATGCTGCATGGGTTTAACCTCCATGGACTATCCATGGGTTATATTATTGGTTTAGCCCATCTACATAATCAAGGATAACTTAGCCCATACTATAAGAATAAACGATTTACATAATCAATCCCTTCATATTTAATTAGTCTCTTTTGACCACAAAATTAATTCCAAATTAATTCTTGGACAAGACTTATTAAATAACCATATTAATATATTATACTTGTAACATATTAATAACTCATAAATAACCTTATTCTAAAAAAACCATCCTATTAAATTGCACTAGTGAAGGAAACCCAAAAGAACCATGCTACTATCGGGTCAAGTACATACCAATTATAGTTATGGACTTAGACACTAAATCCAACACATCAGTTATAGGTTCTTAACTAATAAGATTTTCTTTTCCTTTTTGCCTAGTTTTGCTTTTTTGGCTTGACAGTGGGCTTCACTAAAGGTTTGGGGTTTTCCTTCTTTGATTGTTTCACTTCTTCTCCCCTTGTTTTAGAATTGATCTTGATTCTATAACACCTTCTAGTCGATTGGGCATTGAGAACATTGGCCTGAGTTTTTCAAAGAGATGCTTCTTAACTATTATCGTGATCATCGAGTCACGAGTCTCAATGATGTCGGAAGGTAGAGCTTCACATCTGCTATACAACTTTTCATAACCGGTTTTTCTGATAGCAGATCATTGACTCGTTTCTCAGCATTCTCTAACTTGACCGTTAAGACTTTCACCTTTTCAGTCTTTATAGCAAGAGCATCCATGATTTTACTCTCAGTAGCTAAGTCCTCCTGAAGCTTTGTGATCTTCGAGGAAATGAAGGAATTTAACTCAGCACGGTCAGTTTGAATACTAGTGTGAAGTTGTTCAAGTTTCGCCTTTTCTATTTTGAGAGTGGAGCCCAGGATAGATATAAGTTCATTAGCCGTCGCAGTGCTAGACTCAAATGAACTTTGAAATTTCTCTATGAGCTCACGAGCGTCAATAATTAGTTTATCGACTTTTTCGGTCATGTTGTTTCACATTATAGCAGAAGCATCTACCGCCTTGTTTGCCTTTTCAAGGTTGGCGGAGTGTTCTTTCATAAGGGTCTTAAGGAAGGACTTGATCGTTGCTTCTAAATATTCTTCACTTGATGATACTTTAAAAGCTTAGAGTAATGAGTCCAGTTTCTCATTAATCACCTGGAGCTTCTTCATCACTTTCAATCCGAATGTTAAATGGATTGTAGGTGAATCCTGCAAAGTCATAGTCATCATAACCATAGATAGTATCTGGATCATCCTGATGGAAGTGAGAGATAGGTTGAGTGGTATAACCAACTGTGAATCTCGAAGCACTTGCCCCCGCATCAGATGCGTTGACAGTCACTAGAGGATCAATAGTGGAGGTAGTGGTGGTGGTCGTGGAATCAGTAAAGAATGGGGTTTGGACTTGTGAAACTCCCAATGACACCGGTGGGCATGGAGCAATTGTAATGGGAGGGGAAACAGTGGAAGATGGAGAATGTCACACCCCCAAACGGAGGATGGCGGAAACGTCCGGGGGTGGAGGACTTCATGTATAGCATCATAACCACAATTTTAATAGTAATTTAAGCAAACACAACCAACATATATATAATTGAAAAAGTTACATCACTTGTATGAATTACATGTTTCAAAATCAATTACAATATGTTGCTAAAATATGAAAAGTTTGACGCCTTAACGTCCCATCCTCAAAAGCACTTGATAACCTGATTAGTGTTTTCCTGTGAATACAAGTTGTTTGAAAAGTGTCAACACAAAGGTTGGTGAGTTCATAAGTTTTTATTAATAAACTTAGTAGGAGTATTTCACATGTAAATGTCGCGTTTGTTTCAGAAAAATCCGGTATTTCCTTTGAAATCCGAGAAATGTAGCCTTATAACCAAAGACTAGAGTGTATGAGAAATCATCGTTTCTTAGTAACAATGTTGTGAGTTTAAAATGTTATGGAAAGTAAAATTTCTTTTATCAACCTAAAACCTACTTCGGTTTTATGAAACCCCGTAAACTTCATGAATTGTTATCCCCCTAAGTGAGTCGCTATAATCATACTGTGACTATGTGAACCTGCCACAACGTTTCTCAGGCGTCGCGAAAATGATATGACATTTGTCACCCGTAGACCTGCAGGTCCCACTGTAGCTAGCAGCAAGGTGTGGGGTGTCAAACCCAATATAGATCTATATACAAGTATCACGTTCTCCCTCAAGGAGATTCTGATTATAACTACCAGGAATTATATCCCGCACTCGGACGTACGGGGAGAGAGAGAGAGTCTCACAACATAGGTTAACAAGTTTACGTGAAATGCGTGTGAATATAAATCTTTCTTGTATGGATGTACCCTTTTTGTACGAGTGCGTTGAGTGATGTATCATAAACTATACCTATTATAGTTTATCTAAAATGTATGTAATATGTATGAATTCTTTTATGGAAATGTATTAGTATTGTGAATTTATCAAACTATACTTTTTATAGTCTAATAATACGTGTTCCAAAATGAATGAATAATATTTAATATTTAATATGAATGTCTTAGTTTCAGTTCATAATGATAATCTAACAAGGAAACACATACAAATACTAAAACTTATGATTATACACTTTGCTCAACATAATACAAAGTGTTATTATATTTACATGCTGTTGGCAAAATTTAGCAATTCTGCCCGGTTTTGGAAAAATCATAGAAAAATCATACGAAGTCGAAAATTAGATCCGTAAATTCTGAGAGTTCACAAAATGTGTCTAGTTTGCTCATAATTTTTATCACAAATTAGTATGACCTCTAACTTGGTTGAAAAAGTCCATAATCACAGACTGGTCCGGATTGTTGTTTGAAATGATAGGCAGTTTTGTAAAAATCACCATAAATTGTAGAAAAATCGTATGGAGATGTGCAAGTAGCCATTTTAAAGCTAAAAACTTGAACTATTTTCACCTTGTACAGTTTTGAAAACAAAAATATTTAAGATGCCCAAAACAGTCCGTGAATGGAGTTGAACTTTTCTGATGAAGGCTGTTAGAAAAATTTTGATAGGTTCTTAGTGTTTTAACTTGTATTCACCCCCTGAAAACTTGAGAAATCATGAAAATGTAGGGGTATGAACTCACCTTGAGTGATTTCAGTAGATGATTGTTGAAGAATGGAAGTGTTTAATTCAAGAACACTTGGAGATGCCTTGAAGGTTTTCGAGAATCTAACATCATAGTTAGGGAGTTTGTGTAAGCAACCAAAGATTTGAGTAGAATGAAGTGAAATAGTAATAGGGAGGATGAATTTTTACTTACTAAGTGTGGAAGAACACTTGAAATCAGCCTTGGATCTCGAAAATTTGTGTAGAAGAGTTTGAGAGAAAAAGTGGTGTTTGTTACTTAGTGGAATGAGAGAAATGAGAGAAAATGAGGAGTGTGGTTGTTTGTTCCAGCTCAAAAACGTGGGAGTGAGTGAAATTTGAGTGTAAGGGAACATTGAAGTGACATAGGTAAGGTGGGGAGGTATGGCTGGTCATAGAGTGGGTGTGGGGTGGTTGCTTGTGTCATAAGTTAAGGCAAAGTCAACACTCTACCTTAAATAAATCCCCCATTAAATCTTTATTATTTAATTAATGATTTTTATAAAAATATGTTTAAATTATGAATATTTAGGGTTTATTATGTTAAAATAAAATTTCTGGAGAAAATCCCGCTTTAAAATCACGAAAAACGGGCTTAAAATGTTAAAAATATCAAAAATGGGCTGAAAATGACAAAAATGCGAAGCCTGGCCGAGGTTCGGCCCTCTTATGCTGAACCGAGAGAGAGAGGGAGGCGGAACCGAGAGAAGAAGAAGAGAGAAGGGAAGGAGCCGAGAGGAGAGGAGAAGGAGGGAAGAAACCGAGAGGTGGGAGGGGACAGAGGAGCGCGCGAGGCAGAGAGTGAGAAGAGAGCAGAGAGTGAGAGGCGGAGCAGAGAGTGAGAGGCGGAGCAGAGAGTGAGCAGAGAGGCGGAGGCGGACCGAGAGTGCGGCGCGAACAGAGAGTGGGACGGACCGAGAGGGACCGAGAGGGACCGACCGCTCGGTTGTGAACAGTTCCTTCGGTTCCTGCTTCTTGCTCTCGGTTTCGGTTCCTCCTGGGCGAGTTCGGTCTCGGTTCTCTTAGCCGCCAGAGGCTCGGCCTCTGTTCTCTTAGCCACCAGAGGCTCGGTCTCTGGTCCTAAGAAGCCTCTCATTCCGGTTTCGGTTCCTAAAGCCTATTTTTCTCGTTTTCGCCCCGTTTTAAGCCGTTTTTGACCCGGTTAAGGGCCGGAATGACCCGAATGATTCCAAAAAGTTACGGGAAACTTTTGAGAGAGATTTGGGAGAGATTTCTCACACTTGGAGAGATTTGGGAGAGATTTGACATTCTTGGAGAGATTTCTCATACAGAGAGATATTTGAGAGAGATTTCACATACTTGGAGAGATTTAGGAGAGATTTGACATAGATAGAGATAGAGTGAAAACGATTGAGAGAGGATCCATGTGGGACAGTTGTGAGTGTCCGGCACCGCAATGCATGGTTCGTAAACCCTGTTAAGCCTTGTTTAAGGATCTTACACATTCCCGATGAGTATGCAACATGGTTTTCATCAGTTTAATTCACTGATTAGTACTAAGGCTTAGGAAAATTTTTAACACAAAACTTTTCTCTAGTGATGTTTTCCCATTAATATAGCAAGTTATACAATACGAACATAACACCAACCCTAATACACAAGGTTTAATAGAGTTGACCGGCTTGACTTGATGACTTGACTTGACTCAAGATTGACGATTGTCACATCATCCCCCCGTTAGAGGGAATTTCGTCCCGAAATTTAAATTCGGCTGGGACTTCAAGGGTTTGGGAAAAGATGTGGATATTTTTGTTTCATTTGATCTTCACGTTCCCAGGTAAACTCAGGCCCTCGTTTCGCGTTCCAACGAACCTTCACTATGGGAATGCGACTTTGTTTTGTTCTCTTGATCTCTCGATCCATGATCTCGACGGGTTCCTCCACAAAGTGGAGATTTTCATTAACTTCAATTTCTTCAAGCGGTACTACGAGTGTCTCGTCAGAAAGACACTTCTTTAAGTTGGACACGTGGAAGATAGGGTGCACATTACTAAGTTCTTGTGGTAGTCGGAGTTTGTACGCCACAGGACCAATCCTAGCAAGGATTTCGAACGGACCGATGTACCTTGGGTTTAGTTTCCCCCGTTTACCGAAACGTATCACCCCTTTCCAGGGGGAAACTTTTAGTAGTACCCGGTCTCCGACCTGGAATTCTAAAGGTTTGCGTCGCTTATCCGCGTAACTCTTTTGTCGATCACGAGACGCTTTTAGTCTTTCCCGAATTTGAATGATCTTTTCTGTGGTTTCCCTTAGGATTTCCGGCCCCGTAAGGGTGCTATCAGGGACTTGCCCTCTGGCTAGCTGAGTATCTCCAACTTCGGCCCAACACAGTGGTGATCTACACTTGCGGCCGTAGAGAGCTTCGAATGGAGCGACTCCAATGCTAGTGTGATAACTGTTATTATAAGAGAATTCGATAAGCGGTAGATGGGTATCCCATGCCTTACCAAAATCTATCACACAGGCTCTCAGCATGTCTTCCAACGTCTGGATGGTTCTCTCGCTTTGTCCGTCCGTTTGTGGATGGTAGGCCGTACTCATGTCTAACCTGGTTCCCAGAGACTTTTGTAGGGACTGCCAGAAACGCGAGGTGAATCTACTATCTCGATCCGAGATAATGGATGTTGGTACACCATGCAGTCGCACGATCTCCTTAATGTACGTCCTGGTCAACTTTTCCATCTTGTCTGTTTCCTTTATTGGCAGGAAGTGGCGGACTTGGTCAATCTGTCCACAACCACCCATATGGTATCCATCCCACCTGATGTCTTAGGCAGTTTGGTTACGAAGTCCATGGTTATTCGCTCCCACTTCCACTCGGGTATATCTGGTTGTTGAAGTAGT